TTAAAAAAGGGTGATAGGAGTCATTATGGCAAAGAAAAACCGCTTGGAAACGAAGGCGTAATCGAAGCTCCTTACGAACGCCTTCACCGGCAGCCCCATCTTTCAATGCCTTGGCCTTATGAAGCAAAATGTGGAGCGCTACCTTTTCTTAACCACGCACGTTCCTGCGTCCCTGCAAGAAAAAGAAAACGCTAGAGAGAGAGTCATTCTCGAAACTTGCTCAACCCAAGATGGAGGTGGATATCATCCTGGGTTTTTTCATGACTGACTTTAGCTTTTTTGCTGGCGATCCTAGAGGCACAGTTCACAATAATTTTGTGGTACCCATTTTTATTCGAAAGGCGGAAGCATAGATCGGGAATAGTTCATCGGTAGTGAAGAAAGCGAGAGAATCCGCCGATTTCGAGAAAAATATGGCTCCTCAAAAGTAGGGGAAATAGAAGTTAGACGAGATTACCATGGCGGAAATAACATGGAAGGGGTATTCGGACGAGTTTCCAGCTATTGCGATTGCACAGAGAGCTGACTACATCAAGCCAAAACTGTACAGAACTCTCACTGTGGCTATGGGTCATGACAAGTTGTTTGAACTTCCTACATGGGTACCCTTGTGATTGGTGCAGCCTCCACAGTGAAGGGAAACTCGGCCAAGGGTACACACAGGTCAATCTTTGAGTCTTTATAACTCCCTAACTAGGTCGTTTTCTGCCCCAATAGTTCCAAATATGGTATATGCGGGGGACTCGAATTCATCCTTCGGGGTAACCTCAGAAACCATTTTTATCGTGAACTGTGAGTCTAACACTTACTTTCCAATAACTATCGCAGGCCTTTAACTTACTACTCTTGTCGTGAATACATACATATATCTGTTCTTAGAAGCCACAATTTGAAATGTAAATTCGAGGGTCTCATTATTCGTGAGTTTAGGGGTTTTTTATTGTCCGCCTACCTTATATACTTGCTCCAACTTCAACCATAAATACAGAGTGATCCATTTTCAATTGGGAATAGATGGTCATGAGAGTTACCTGAATGGTTCTCCAATACATCAGCCTTGACCATAACCACTCCGAATGATTGGAGTAATGATTTCAGAGTTGATTGTCATAATAGCTGTGCCATGTTTCTGTTTGACGGTGATCTGTGTGGCTTGCGCAGTGGCCTGCTATAAACGGGCCAAATACCACGCTCAACAATGGAGACGCTTTTGGCAGACACATTCTGAGCACACACATGAGGATACGTAAGTTTTAGCTTTGAAGGCAACATATCTTATGAAGTTGTTGGTCCAATTCAAAGTGGAACTTTTTTTCATAGCCTTCGATTGCCTTTTTCTCACTCATGCCACACAAGCCAACTTTTCATTATCCATCAATTCCAAAATATTGGTGCAAAGTTCCTCTAACACAGAAACTTCCAATTCCAAATATATTGACCTCAGAAAAGGACCGACCAAGTAGAAGTTCGTGGAATAAGGAATCCTATGAACTCCCTTATCTAGGAACTCTTTAACCTAGAAGGGAGTTGGAGCTCCTCAACAGGCCTGAAGCCGTTTTCCCTCATGGCTATTACACAAAAGAACCAACAAAAAATTGTCAGCCGGTCGAGATGGGTGAGGGCCACCTGAATCCTTGGTTCGTCTCGTATAACGAATGTTGAAATTCCTAAGGAATAAGGTCCCTATAAAATCAAATTGAAATAATATGAGTGACAAACTGAAGAGCAGTTCGAAAGGAAATAACTAGAAGGGAATATTTACTGCTCACGCCTATGCCCATTTCAGGACCATGACGTATAGCTTATCGCATTTACCTCATCCAGGCAGTTTGGTCATGGCGAGTCACTATATGGATGTTAGGATATTGGCTGAAGCTAACAGGTTCGTCTTGAAAGGCCTGGTTGAGCCATGCCCGGTGCCGTATCATCTCAAACAGACCACGATTGAAACAATATGACAGGAAAGACAACTGGGAAGTGTCGCTATCGAATCTTACCATACACGAAAATGAAATTCTTGGAAATGGAGCTTTTGCAGTCGTTCACAAAGCCACCTTGAGAGGTAAGCGGTAAGTCTCACAACTCTCAGATAGAAGTAAGTTTGCAGGTTTGTTACTGTTACCCAACCCTACCTTACCATGTGTGAATGAGAGCTTTGAGTCTTTGGTATGCCATTTGGGGACCAGTTTCGCTGTAACAATGTCTGGTTCAAAGCCAAAGTTCCTTCTCAAAATCTTTAGAACTATGGGAAGTCCTTAGAACTGAGCATAGAGTCATTGAAAAGGAAGGGTTTCGATGGGAAGCGGCCTATTGGTGACCCACCTATAACCATTGCTTGGACAAACCAACCAACCATTGCTTGTTATAAAGCTTGAAAATTCGCCCCGCTCCCATACCTACCATCGCAACGAGTGTGGGTAAGGAGGTGCCATCTAGGATGGTGCCATGAAAATAGGTCAGGGAACCTACAAATTTCGGGTGGTCGTGCTAGTGTCTTCCTCACACCTCCAGCATTATGCTAGTCATTTATTTATAGTGCGCTACTTTTTTTCACTGACCCCTCTTTCCTTGTCCTTCTTGCGTTATTTTCTTTCTCGTCGAACTAGAAGAAAGCGAAAAAAAATTGACCTAGCGATCACAAGCAAAAGATGACTATGCCGCCTTGTGATCCCCAGCTGTCGTAATGGAACAGCAACATTAATGAGGGAAAATGCTTTGCTATCTAGCTTTCAGTAATGTCCGTACTTGAAGTGGACCTTTTCAGGGAAAATTCCGCTTCTGGTCATCAATCCTCGCTTGAACTTAGTCAGTGAACACGAACAAGACAATGGGACAACCGAGGTATTATGTGTTACCAAACGAGGTTCTCCAAACTCTTATAGACCTCGTCTAGGCAGCCGTTAAACGTCTACCTGCACATGCCAATGATCAGAATCGAATCGATTTCTTCCATGAGATCAGTTTCATGAAAAACCTCGGTTACCATCCACATGTAATCAGGTGGGTCACCTACCACAGAAATTACCTATTGATGAGAAAGAAGAACTAATAAAATAAGAGTAATTATAGCATTGAGCATTCTCCCGCATGTGCGCGCGTAAAATCAATACCTATTTCAAAGTGCATGCTATTGCATCCTAGACAGAAACTTTGTTTTTATATCCATCCCAGTGAATATTTCATTCACTTACTTATTGCTTTTATGCTACTAGTACTTCAAACCAATTGAAATTACAGGTAGCGTTATTGAGACTGTTTTCAGCATGTTGGGCTGCATCTCATGCACTGACACTCCAATGATTTTAGTGGAATACTGTGAACATGGCGACTTGTTACGATTTCTTAGAAAACATCGGGATTTTATTATTATGGTAATATTTTCGTAAGTATTTCCTCATATGGTAACGTTTTATGAACTGAATTAACGGGGCCAGCAAGTAAAATAACCATATGGACTAGTTGTCGCTATTGCGGACCCAGAAATCGGAGGTATAGAAATAATTAATGATCTCAGCCCTGGAAAAAACCCGAAGGGAGATTGACGAGCGAATTTTCTACATATAGCTTTGATCATACGAAGAGTGCACTTACAAGTGCTTGGGTGCCGAACGAAAATCCACGAATTGGCCTACTTAACGGCATCGGAAGCTCTCAAAAGCACGGACAAAGTCAGGCCCGGTCCTGAAACGATTTTGCAGACCAATTTGTGTAGGTGTACGCTCCATCAGAGCTTCGGCCGTACGGCAAAAGTTACCCAACCAACCAGTAACGCCTTACCCAAGCGTTATGGTCTCAGAATGTCTGTGCATTTGTATCTTTACGATACCGTACAAAACTTTTTCAGCACGAAAACGACGAATGCCCGATTGATGCCGAACTTTGCCTTCGGATCAAGGATTTGGTCTCTATTTCCTGGCAAGTTAGCGATGGGCTTGTGAGTTCTAAGCTTACATACTACAATATTCTTATAAAAACCGATCTCATAAAACTCCGAGTGCAGACTTTCACAGTTCAAGTAGACCTCGCGCATGTTCAAACAATCCTCTGTTTCATATAAAATCGCTTTTTCCGAGTTTCTGTGAATGAGTTAATCGTTCAAAAGGTGGCGGAACGAAAAAGTGCTCAAGGTTTCAGTTAGTCCTCTGTAGCGATTCCCAAGGGCTGGGCATTACAAACCAGTATATGGGCCCCCTTCGACCGTCTCCCGAATCTGAACTGAAGTCGAAAGTGTGGTCGACTCCGATCACCTCCTTATCCTGTCCATTCTCGCTATTTGTAATAGACCAAAGTCATTCAGGCATACCTCTCTTCGAAAAACTTCATTCATCGCGATGTCGCCGCTCGTAATGTATTGCTCACGAAGCACCTAGTTGCCAAGGTAAGACAGTTTTGAAGTTCAGGAACCTACCCAGGTAAAAAGAAACATTCTCGGAAAAGCTAAAAAACCTGTCCAGGTAACCTGAATGAATTGCCATGGGGAGTTGTTACATGGCATTCGACTGTTGAGAGATGTCTCAGTAGGGAACTCGTTCTAACAACCGAAGAGGGGTACACTATTAGGAAAGTAGTCCAGAATTCCTTGCCCACATGCTTATATTCTACCTGCTCAAACTGAATTCTCTCCAAGACAGCTTGAATACTTTTTCCAGGTGAGCGACTTCGGTCTGGGCCGTTATGCGGATTCAGCCCTTTATACGGCACGTGGTGGGCGTCTGCCATTCAAGTCCATGGCATTGGAGGCACTCAAATACTACGAATTCTCTGAAAAGACTGATGTGTGGGTGAAGCGAACAACCCATTGGCCCATTGTACTCAAAGAAACCCATCTGGAGTCATTTCAGATGGGCATTCGCAATTCTGCTCTTCGAGATTTTCTCACTCGGCAGTGTACCATATCCGACCGTTCAGCCAGTGGATATGATATCCTACATTGAACAAGGCAATCGTCCACCTCAACCAGAGAAATGTCCGAATGAGATGTGAGTTTCAAACAGGTTTCGGTGTCCTTATTACCCCCTTCTCTGAGCCGTTTTTCGTCCCAACAGCGTCCCTTGTGTTACCCTTGCGGGTCAAAAGCTCATCCTAGTGAGAAGTCTCAGAAATTGTTTGTCCTGAACTATGCCTTCAAACCAGTATGTTCAGATTCAAGTTGATGAAGAGATGCTGGCAAGCCGACCCAAATGATCGTCCAACTTTTGCTGAGGTAGGAGGTCGCCTTAATGGTTGCAAATACCTCTCGAAATCATTATAAAACTATTCACTTATAGATTCGAGGTGAACTGACCATTCTTCTGAATATCGACGACGAAAGTTACGGCTATTTAAATCTTGACAGCGACAAAAAATCCCGTCAAATTCGAGATATGATTAACAGACAGGTACTTTTTTGGGTTATAATGATTTCTAAAGAGTGGCAACTGGCGCCGCCAGGGCCAACGCGTCACGGCCATCTATGAACCATGAAGAAAGTCCGTTGCGCGCGTCCGTCGAAAGTAGGTCACCCGCCCGCTACGCGCGCGGCGCACCCCACTCAGGTCTTGAGATGACATAACAGTACCATCGAGTGTTAGTGGAGCAAATGATATGCATTTGTCCGTGTTACTCTTTGAGCTGACCGCCATGGTCCAAGCGCAAATCGTATGCCCCATTGACATCTGCGACATCTGTCAAGTATCGCGGGCTGACCCCCTCATGCGACGGCTGCGGCGCGACCTAGTTCTTACGGACGCGCGCAACGAAGCTCACCCATGAACCATATTCCAGCTGCGCTTAATAAACCTACTTTCTCTGAAGGACCGGTTCGTGACAAAAAAGTATTCAGTGAACGTAGACCAACTTATACTTCCCATTCCCCCTACCCATTGCCAGGATCAATTCGGAAGAAATCATGCAATCATTACGATTCTGAATCCGACTTCTCGTATTTGACTCAAATCTGGAAAAACTCTAAAAATACATTTGCCTCTACTGCAAATCAATAATCAGCAGTACTCCTTTGATGTCATAAATTTAAAAAATTAAGATAACTGAACTTCACACCCCAGACGATGGCGAATCGAATGCATTGGAAGGACTGGAGGACGCGGAAAAATCAGCAGTTCTAGAAGACATTGTTATGGGACTGTCTCAAACGTTTGTTTCTCAAATTTCTTTTGAACTATGTAAACTACATACCTGGATCACAGCAATTCCTTTTACCGGAATCAAAAAAAGTCTCGAAAACGGGGTGATTCTCCTTTCCCGTCAAAGAAAAAAAGGGAACTGTTGACGTATTATAAACCAGACAAAGATACAAATGACCCTGTTTGAAGAAGACGTCAATATCGCTGTGATATCAGTTTTTCAAAGAGATCGTCCTTGAAAAGAGGCCAGTCGTCTTGGCTAATAGTAAGCCAAACCATTAATTCAGTAACAGTATTGATCGATCAGGATCTCGAAAGGGTGTATATCTAAGAATCACGCTACGGTAGACAATTAATAACAGAACAGACCTAATAAAAGAATTTAGAGATAAAGGGGATATAAAAATGTGGTTTACCTCCAATGAAGGCAGATCTAAGCTGTCTGCTCACTGGTGGATCGATAGTGATCGCCAATCAACACAATCAATCAATAAATGATTCGCCCTGCCATTTCACTTACATTCAGACCCGCTGTACCTTCGTGCATTCACGCTTCGATATCATAGCGGACGTGGTGTAAAGGCAGATGACGCTATTACCACACACCGTGGATCATGGATCGAATCACAGCTCAGTACTCGCCTAGGCCAACCAAAGTTACATTCCTCCGGAATCGACTAACTGGTACCAGACTCATACGCATTTAATACGCCACTACGATTCTGAGTGACAGTTGAAAGCAGGGGCCCATCCTAGAAACGAGACTGATCAATGCCAAAAACTTCATCCTTCAAAGACTTAGCTTGTGAAAAAATATGAAGACATGCTAAATACCACCAAAACCGCGTTTTCTTTATAGGGTGGACAGCACGTTTAATGAAAAAGATGGACCAAGGATCCAATGTCCACAGGAAGACGACGCTAATCAAGGATCGGAGCCACCTTTCACCACAATCTGCGAGGGTTTATCGGACGGACCCACTATCTGCGAGGGCATATCGGACGGACCAACAATATTACCTTCTAGCTATGTACTACCATCGTACTCACATTTACCCAATACAGTAGCATTCAGTCCACGACCTGGTCGCCCAGAAAACGACAATCCATTTGATTTTGTAAATAACAACTTTCCACAAATAGTAAACCTAAAACGTGACCATATTGTACTATCAATAGAGGAACAAATACATCACAAATTAGTCGAAGGTTGTTCGTCAATTCGATAAAACATTGATCAACTTTGCGAAAATCATTGTTGAACAAAACTCGAAGAATATCGGTATTCAGTCATTAATTTTTATAAAATATTTACTTTCAATATGTTTCACATCACGAAGGCTGGAATACGTTTTGAATATTGGCAGTAGAAGACAACAAAACCAAAAAGAGGTAAAAAGCTGAAAACCCGAGAAAATTGCACTAGAAGGCGAATGCATTACGATAATTACATGAAATATATAACCATACAGAGAAAAAATTAACAAGCTAACATTCCCATGCAGCGTGATCAAAAAATAAATTCATTTTGCTACTCTAAGAACCAGGAAAAAAAAGCAGCGTAAAATACTTCTCTAGATCTACACAACTACACCAGCATCCATCGACGGCTCTGATATTACCGTAACTTCATTTTGCCAAACTCAACGCGGTGGACCTTGTGGTCTCCTTGGGAATGCAGGTTCCACGGTAACAGCTGGATGCGCTCTTGGTTGCTCTCCCATCATATTTTGAGGGGGTCTACGCGGCGGGAATGCCGGCTCCACCACGACTGGAGGAAGAGGTCCTGGTGCTTGAGAACCACCCGGAACGCGAACCTTAAGTCAAAATTCAAATTTGCCTTTTCATGAACTATGTGATTTTCTTTTTTATAACACGAACAGCTTTCAACTCTTTTTCTTTTCATTTCCTCATATTAAGCTAGGAAACGGATTTACGGATATTCCCAAAGGACATGCAATCTTCATGTCTGATTCACTTGAAAAGCTAGACTATGAGCTAAACTGCTAAGTCACAAAGTCACAAAGTATAAAAATACTGGAAATCAGATATCATGGCTAAACTCACGTTTGGAGGCACGTTTACAGGATGCTGACCACTTTGGAGAGCGCTCACCAATTGAGAAGTATCTGCTCCAGATTGCTGAAAAAAGAATTCTGTCTTTTCGCACTGAAATCACGCATCAGGTATGCTTCAGTCCATGATTACTCTAACTACTGTAAATAAAGCAGGAAAGCTATTTGCTAAACAGCTCTTGACATCCTTCCCTGACCCCTCTGGCCATCTGACAGCCTGAACCGCAAAATTTCCTTTTAAGCGGCGAAAAAATCCGAAGAAAACTTTTACATCACGGTTTTCAGGTCCTTGCCACTGATGCAGAGTTTCTCTCAGTATCCAAATTTTCAGAAGAATGGGTCAAAAGAGACTCACGCTCGGTTTTGGTGTTGATGTTGACTGACGGAACAATCCACCACTTTCATGACGTTTGCTATATTTGAACATTCTGAGCTTTGCTACCGATGCATGTGTAGGACGAATAATGCCAGGAGCACGCATTGGCAGCTGTGGCAAACGTGGATATCGCTTTTGTGCTGAGCTCTAGAAAAACGTAAAGCAATAATGCCATTACAGAGGCTGCGAAAAAACACCATTTAACATACCTGCGATTTTCCTGTCTCTGAGCCGTTTTGGTTTGCGATTTCAGTTCGGCCCTTTCGTTGCTCACTTGCTTTCAATTTTCTGGAAACACTACCATTGAGAATGGGTCAGAGTTTTACCGGTGTGCACAACCCCTCCC